TTCAAAGTTCTATAATGACATTTATGTTCAACTGATCTTTGACAAGGGTGCCAAGACAATTAAATGGGAGGAAGAAAAGCCTTTTCAACAAATGGTGTTGGGACAACTGGATATCCACGTGCAAAAGAATGCAGTTGGACCCCTACCTCACACCATACATGAAAATTAACTCAGTGGATCATAGACCTAAATGTAAGAGCTAAAACTACAAAATTCTTGGAAGAAAACATAGGAGTAAATGTAGCCTTGAGTTAGACAATAGTTTCTTACATATGACACCAAAAGCACAAAGAAAAAAGAAAAAAAAATAGATAAATTTGACTTCATCAAAATCAAAAACTTTTGAGCTGCACACAGTACCATCAAGTGAAAAGACAACCCACAGAATGGGAGAAAATACTTGCAAATCATATCTCTGATAAAAGACTTGTATCCAGAATATGTAAAGAACTTTTGCAACTCAACAATAAAAAGAAAAATAACTGAATTTAAAAATAGGCAAAGGATTTGAATAGACATTTCTCTAAAGAAAATATACAAATGTCCAATAAGCACGTGAAAAGATACTCAGTACCATTAGTCATTAAGGAAAAGTAAATCAAAACCACAATGAAATACCACTTCATATCCACTGGGATGGCTATAATTAAAAAGACAGACAATAAGTGTTGGCAAGGATGTGGAGAAATTGGAACTGTCATATATTGCTGGTTATGGTGCAGTCACTTTGAAAAACATCCACTTACCATATAACCTAGCAATTCCACCACGAGGTAGAGAAATTAACACATATGTCCACACAAAAACTTGTACACAAATGTTCATAGCAGCATTATTCACAATGCCAAAAAAGTAGAAGCAACCCAAATGTTCATCAACTCGTTAATGAATAAATAAAATGTGGTGTATCTATGCACTGGAGTGTTTTTCAGCCATAAAAGAAACGAAGTACTGATACATGCTACAGCATGAGAGAACCTACAGCTAAGTGAAAAAAGCTAGCCACAGAAGACCACACATTTTATTATTCTATTATATGCAAATGTACAAAATCAGCAAATTGATGGAGACAGGAAGTAGATTGTTGGTTGTTTACAGATAGAGGGAGGGCTGGGGAAAGGGACTGACTGCTAACGGGTACAGATTTTCTTTCAGGGAGGGATGAACATGTTTGAGAATTTGACAGTGGTGATGGTTGCACAATAGAGAGAAGTTACTAAAAACATTGAATTGTATACTTTAAATGGATGAATTGTATAGTATGGGAATTATATCTCCATAAAGCTGCTGTTTAAAAAAAAAAATTCTACGAGGAGAGGAAGTAAACAGAAATAACATCAGCCATGGACTGATAAGTGTTGTAGGGCCTGCCCCGTGGCTTAGTGGTTAAGTGCGCACACTCCGCTACTGGCGGGCCTGGGTTCAGATCTGGGCGCCCACCGACGCACCGCTTCTCCGGCCATGCTGAGGC